ATTATGAATAAACAATGTGGGCAATAAGACATTACTTGAAATATGGGTAGGCATAAAAATGCTTTTATAAGGTTAAATTTTAAAACCAGGAGACAAAAAATCACAAATTGTACCTTAGCAAGGTAAAAGGATAGACATAGGAAGACAAGAAGGCAAGAAAAGAAAGGCTCTGAATCTAGACTCAAGATACAGTCAAGTTCAAACTTGGCTACTATTTACTGCCTGCATGACCTGAGTCTGAAATTTGTTTCCTCATCAGTAAAACAGGAATATATATACCACAGCATTATTAAATGTAGCATATAGATGTTTAATTACATAGCCAATATTTAATTAACATCAATGTTACTTCCTTTTCCTTTAATACTGAAAACTAAGTAACAGTGCTAAGTTTAAGGGTGACTTCCCTTGCTTCATTTTCCAAACTGCGAAAATACTTTTTAAGCATAAATGAAACTTCTAGTATTTCATACTCACACCCCTCCTTATGTGAACTTAAAATTATTTTTACTGTCTTTCATAACTGTTAAAAATTCTAATTTGTTTACATTTGTGATTTTTCTAAATCTAAGCCCCCACAAAATAACAAATTTCAGGCTCAGATCATACAGGCAGTAAATAGCAGCCAAGTCTGAACCTGACTGTATCTTGATTCTAGATTCAAGGCCTTTCTTTTATTGCCTTCTCATCTTCCTATATGTCCTATCCTTTTACCATGTTATTGTAAATTTGTAATTTTTGTCTCCTGGTTTTAAAACTTAACCTTATAAAAGCATTTTTATGCCTACCCATGTCTGATCTAATGTCTTTGTGATGGGGGAGGACAGTAGAAAAAAAAATTAAAGGGGGGAAAAGATAACTAATACTATGCCAGTACAGACTTACAAAAAAGAAAACAAACAAAAAGTGTAGAGAAGAAAAGAGCAAAAGTTAATGCTGTGTTTGAAGAAATTCCCCTGAGACAATCCAATGAAAAAAATTACATTCTCCTACTCAATCTAGCTACAATGCCAGCCACTCCTCACTTGTATCTAGGGTTTATATGTATGTTACATACAGATACGCATAGACAAGTCACTCTCTTTACTGATGGGAACCACCACACTCATGCACAAAAATGTAAAGGTAAATGAAGAAACTTAGGATGTTGTAACAAAGACAAACACCTGGTTAAGAAATAACTTCCACTAAAATGTACTCATTCCCCAGTACATCTTCTCATCAGCTTGCAATCAAAGAAAAAAAAAGGAATGCACTGCTGAAATATTTAACCTGATTACAGGATTTGTTCTAGAATCAGAGAAGGCACACTTTGATGCCTATCTTTCACTATCTTTATAATAACCCCATCTTTAGAGACACGGCCTAAAAATGGAATATTAGCAAAAACATACAATTTCAAATAGGTACAGATGGAAATTTTAAGCTATTTTTTAAAAGAATAAACAATATTAATAACTATTATTATTATTTTAACAGCTAATACTTACTCAGCATTCATTATGTACCAGAAAGCTAAGGACTTTTCATGAATTCTGAAATTAGAACCCTAAACCTCTACAAAAATAGTATTATGGTTAAATCCACTTGCCCAGTGCTCACACTGCTAAATTTGAACACTGCCAATTTTACTTCAAGGCTCCCACCTTATCCCTTCCTGTCTCCTTATACATGCATAAAGACAAAGGCCAAGTTTGATTCTATATGAATATGTATATACGTGTGCGTGTGTGTATAAAATATTCAATGTTGGTAGTAAGCAAAGACAATTTCAACTCAAAGCTTTTATCTTCACAATCTATTCAACAATAAATTGGGAATCACCCTTTCTCCTTAACAAATGGTACTGTGAAAATACAAGTTACACTTAATATCTTCCTCAAGAAACTAATACGTGTGTGCGCATGTATACAATAAGCTTCTAAGTAAAATAAACTCCATGAAGAAAGGACTAAAATATTAATTTTTAAAAATTAAATATTGATAGGATATGTGTAAGCAGGCTTTATAAATTGTGCTTTAATCCTAACACTTTATTAGGTATTTTTTCACTTTCACTTGTCTGCTTGGCTCTTAACACTTATGCTTCTACAACTTATACACTTCACAGGGTTGGGGTATAGCTAAGTGATAGAACGAGTGCCTGGCATGCCCAAGGTCTTCAGTTCATTCCCCAGCATCAGTCTTTACGGCACTGTATTTTCAACTTATACAAATACACATACTGAAAAACTTAATACGATAAATCTGTAACACTCTAACCAACTTCATTTTCAAACTTCATGGAACAAATCATTTATTTATACTTTCATTACAAAATCACAGATCCAAGAATTCTAAATGATATGGGAAGGCTACAACTGAAGAGGTAGACAAAGATTAGTATAAGAGTGAAAAGGAAATTTCTTAAAAAAAAAAGCTAACCTTAATCCAGTCTCACTTTCCCCCACCCAAAAGTTTGCTCTGCTACTACTTCTACCCTGTCAGGCTCCTTGACCTTTGCTTTTCTCCTCTTGGAAGTTTATCTCACAATTGTCAAAGTGTTTATTCTGAACTTAAAAATACAGAAACATACTAACACCATAACTACATGAGCTCTCAGTAAGTTCAGAAAGGAAGTAACTCCACAGTTTAACTCTGAGAATAAAAAATCTGAGAAAAAATTTAGTAGTGGTATAATTGACACCTGAGAGATGAGAAAATTACTTTTTCATCTTTCTGAAGACTGAACTGAATTTTGTGTTCCATTATCCTCTAAGTCTCATATAGTATTTAAAATAAGGAAAAGGACAAATACATGAGCCAACCAGCAGGGTGAGCTAGAACTAGTATCATTCTGATGATTTTTAAAACTCAATAGTATACACTATTAAAAGCAGCTATCTCCCACTAATAAATCTGAATTAAAAACACCACCTTTTGAGCTACTTCAGTCAAAGCTACAACTCATGATTTTGTTCAATATTTGAAGACTCTCCTTGTACAAAACACATTCTCTATACCAGAGCCATTAAATTTAAAAATACTGAGTTCATTTGAATATTTACCTAAATTATTATAGCACCCACCATTCATCCCCATGTTTTATTTCATGAGGTTATCATTTTAAAGACACTTGAAAACAGTTTTTTTTTAAAGGCCTGCAGAACGGGTTTTCTACCAATTAGGGTTGGATAATTCAACATGCTAGTTTTTGTTTGCTGCAAGCTACAACTGCCTTATTGACAGAAAAGCAATTCTGAGATGCTATTGAAAGAATGCTGAGAGAAATGCATTCCCACAAGACTAAGATCCACTCATTTTCTCCCAGTCACATGTGCAGAAAAGAAAATAACCCTAATCAACTAATAGTGTGTTTAGGATGACAGAAGTACCTGAACTTTCTCTAAATCACATCATCTTGACATTTTCCTTGAGTCTTTTCCCTTTTTGCTGCCCATTACATTCTCAATTCACCCAAAACTCTACCTCCCACAAAACTCCAACACAAACTAAACCTGGAAAGCATTTAAAGTTTACAGGTTACAGACTCACTTTATAATTACAAATAATCTAAAAGTATAACCCTAATTATCACAAGACTAATATGCAATTTATTTATTTATTTTGAGGGACGGCCTCCCTAAATTGCTCAGGCTGTCCCTGAACTTGCATTCCTCTAGTCTCAGCCTCTTGGGCCACTGGGATTATTGGTGTGTGCCGCCCCTGGCCCAAGACTACCTTGTAATTAAATCCATTCACATAGTGTTGAAAATTATAAAATACCTTATTAACTTTCTTATGAAAAAAAATAATAATAATTTAAAACCTCATAAATGAACTGTAAAAGAGTCAAAACAATTTAACTGTGTTTGTCAAATCTAGCATCCAAAAAGTTAAAGATCACTGTGGGATTCATTCAAATGATTTTACGACTTGTTGAATTTCCTCACAGACCTGACAGAGAGATACACTACTCAGCAGCAACAGGAGCAGCAGTACTCTTAAAAGTTGTTTTAAAAAGGGTGTGAGTGGCATGTTCACTTATCGTATCAAAAGCACTGTTTTTAGCATCTCTCATTTCTTAGGTAATAATGGAAGTTATCTCAAACTTTCCAAGAAACTTGTTGAATTTTTAAATTTCTGGGTCAAGTATGCTTTCAGAAAATCTCAATATTCATAACCAACAGAGCTCTGAAATTTCTGTATTTTGTATCTGGATTTCACCAAAAGTCACTTTATAAACAAAGTCACCTAACACATAACATTAAATTTAACTTACTGTCACAGAAGTTAATGTGATAGCATTTAATTAACAAGTACTCTCAATAATTCTCCCTTGTTGAGTCTTATTTAACCATTAGTTGCAGATATTCACCTTCTCATCCAAGCAATGTGACAAATGAAAACAGCAATGCAACAGAAGTTGAAAGATTGATTTTTCACTATGCAACTAATTTAATTATCCTCAGATATTGTAAGAAAGGGGGTATGCATACTGGTTCTTTGAGATTCCCTCACTGTAAAACTATATAATCTAGGAATACATTTTCTAATGTTAATAATATATCTTCTATTCAATAATACAGTTAAGATCACACTCTACTAGAAAAACTATAAAAGAGAAAATATATATCTGAAAAAAAAGAAAATTAAAGTTTTAAGGAACGTTGAAAAGTTTAAATTTCATCTTGAATACAAATTTAAATTAGTGACCTAAATGCGTTTATCTATACCTTCAAGTGATTATTGTTAATGGCAAAGACAAAATCTGTAGTTCAATATTGAAATCTGTACTTTATTAGTAGTTTATTCCAATATGATTTGTTATTATAACTTACTTTAATAAGAAATTCTAAAACTTATACAGCCATGATTTTAACAGCAATATATACTGCTGCGTTAATACTAGTTGGCAGTCACGTTTCACCTATATCTAAGTTAAAAATTATAAAAATAATTTTTTCTTACTAAACCTACCAAATACGATATTGCAGATGTCAAGTTCCCTTGATACTTACACATGGCACTGAAGGCAAAGAGCCGGTTTCCTTTCTTTGAGGAACTTTAGATGTCTATTATTTTGAAATGCTTTCCTTCTTGTGGGACCAAATAATGTAACTAACGTAAGCTACTTCAGAGATGTAACATATGATTAAGGCAAATCTATATCATCACCCAGATGCACCAAGCTTGGCATTAATCAGGAAAGGCCAAAATAGAAGACAGTGTTTGGATATCTCTGTACAAAGTATTAACTTGTATACAAAACGGGACCCTCATTTCAGGCCCCAAGTTATGTGTATCCCCTCGTTGAGTTTACTGATCCCACAAAATCTGAAGTCTAAACATAAAAGCTTTATAACTACTATACTTCAGTCAATATTACTTAAAACAGTTCAAGAAAACTTTTCCACTAATGTTGCTAAACCATGGATGGATCCCAACACGAGAGTCGTCTGTGGAAGTCTGGTAACAAGAAACCTTTAGCTCCACCACCTAAGTTTCCAATCACTGAGAAGGGTCTGGGGCAACTCATCTTCAGGTTCACGGGAGAAGTGGAGCACACCTGCTTTCCTCTGGCAGAGATTAAGCTCCCAGGGACACAAAGGCCAGGGAATCAGACCTGGAGAGGCAAAAAGCTTTAGCTGGACACCCACCGAGCCCCTGGCAACCCAAACACTTCGAGCGATTTACCTCTTGCTGTTACTTCCCAGGCACCTAGCGGCACAAGATGTTGCAGAACGGGAGGAGGGGAGAGCTATGCGGTCCAGTCCCAAGCCAGGGGAGGGGTGTGTACAATTAACGCCAGAGCCAGCGCTTCTGGCCAGGACGAAGCAGCCTCGCGGAGAGGGGCTGGTGACTGCTCTCGGACCGCCCCGTTACTCAGTGCATTGCAATGGCGACCGCCAGGCTCCTCAAGCCGCCTGATCTCAGCCCCTTCCCCCTACTGCTCACTGGCTGCTCGGCTTCATGTGACTAAACAAAACCCCCAAGTCTAGTGCCCAGCTCAGCCCCTTTGTGTCCGCTACCGGATTCTCCGACGCCGCAGCGGAAAGGCCCCCCCGCC